GCTACATTCAATTTGCTCACATTTTGTTGAAGGTTTTTTGTATGGGTTCATGAGGGATACCGACTTCTTATTTTCTTTTGTTGTAATGTATGTATGTGTTTTTGTTATTAGGATAATGCTGGCCCTCATAAAAGAATTGGGAAGTGTTCCCTCCTTTTTTATTCCCTGGAAGAGAGTAGAACTGCAATTATTTCTTCTTTAAATGTTTAGAATTTGCCAGTACAGCTCTCTGAATGAGGAGCTTTCTCTTTTGGAAGGGTTAAAAATACAGATTCAACTTCTGTAATGGATATGGGCCTATTCAGATTACCTGTTTCTTCTTTTTTTAAAAATTCATTTATTTTTGGCTGTGTTGGGTCTTCGTTGCTGCACGTGGGCTTTTCTCTAGTTGCAGTACGCGGGGGCTACTCTTCGTTGCGGTGCACGGGCTTCTCAATGTCATGGCTTCTCTGGTTCTGGAGCACGGGCTCTAGGCACATGGGCTTCAGTAGTTGTGGCACATGGGCTCAGTAGTTATGGCTCGTGGGCTCTAGAGCACAGGCTCAGTAGTTGTGGCACGGGCTTAGCTGCTCTGTGGCATGTGGGATCTTCCCGGACCAGGGCTTGAACCCGTGTCCCCCGCATTGGCAGGCAGATTCTTTTTTTTTTTTTTTTCGGTACGCGGGCCTCTCACTGCTGTGGCCTCTCCCGTTGCGGAGCACAGGCTCCGGATGCGCAGGCTCAGTGGCCATGGCTCACGGATCTAGCCGCTCCGCGGCATGTGGGATCTTCCCGGACCGGGGCACAAACCCGTGTCCCCTGCATCGGCAGGCGGACTCTCAACCACTGCACCACCAGGGAAGCCCTGCAGACAGATTCTTAACCACTGCGCAACCAGGGAAGCCCTACCTATTTCTTATTGAGTGAGCTTTAATAGTTTCTATTTTTCAAGGAGAAGTTTGTGTCTCCAGTTCATCTAAGTTGTTGAATTTATGGACATAAAGTTTTTGTAATATTTCCTTATTATTTCTGTAATGTTTAGAAAACCTGTGGTGATATCCCTTCTTTCATTTTTGATATTGGTAATTTGTGTCTTCTCTTTTCTTTTCTTAGTCAGTCTGGCTAGAGATTTATCGATGTTATTGGTTTATTCAAAGAACCAGCTTTTGGTTTCATTAATATTCTGTATTGATTTCCTGTTTTCAATTTCATTGATTTCTGTTCTTACTCATTATTTTTTGCCTTTTGCTTGTTTTGGGTTTAATTTGCTGTTCTTTTTCTTGAGTCTTCAGATGGAAGCTTAGGTTATTGGCTTAAGAACCTTGTCTTCTAGTATAAACATTTAATATTTATAAAGTGAATAGTGCCCACTCTTTCATTGCTTTCCTTTGGCTGCCTGCTTTTGACCCTGGATGCAACTAATGTTATTTTGTCAGTATCCTTTCAGACAGCTTATGCATATACAAATATATGAAAATATTTTTTTACTTTCTCCTTTTTAACATAATTGCTAGATTGCATTCTAGCAATTATTTTGTCCCATGCCTTGCTTTTTTTTTTTTTTTTTAAGTAATCTATCTTGGATATAATTCTCTATCTTTTATATGTTTTTTTATCATTCTTTTTTATGATAGCCTAATAGCCAGGCTTCTATTAATAGACATCTAAAGCTGGGGCCAGGGCCTTGGGGTTTTTAATGTTTTAATTCTTTTTATATATTTTATTATGGAAATTTTCATTATGGAAAATTTTATGCATTGCAGTTTATATATCTTAAATGTTTTTTAGCCTGTATTTTTCCCTTTCATTATTCTCTCCTTTAAACCATTACCTTTGTCTAGTAATGGTAACCCTCACTTTCCCAGGATTCTTTTTTTTTAAAATAAATTTTAGTATTTATTTATTTATTTTTGGCTGTGTTGGGTCTTTGCTGCTGTGCACAGGCTTTCTCTAGTTGCTGTGAGCGGGGGCTACTCTTCGTTGCGGTGCGCGGGCTTCTCGTTGCAGTGGCTTCACTTGTTGCAGAGCACGGGCTCTAGGCGCACGGGCTTCAGTATTTGTGGCACGCCGGCTCTAGAGCGCAGCCTCAGTAGTTGTGGTGCATGGGCTTAGTTGCTCCGCGGCATGTGGGATCTTCCCAGACCAGGGCTGGAAGCCGTGTCCCCTGCGTTGGCAGGTGGATTCTTAACCACTGCGCCACCAGGGAAGTCCCTCAGGATTCATTAAAAAAAAATTTTTTTTTTTAAATTTCTTTTTGTGGCTGCATCGGGTCTTCATTGAGGCATGCGAGGTCTTCATTGAGGCATGCGGGATCTTTTGTTGTGGCGTGGGCTCTTCGTAGTGGCGCACAGACTTCTCTCTAGTCGTGGCATGGGAGTTTTCTCTCTCTAGTTGTGGCGCGCAGGGTCCAGAGCACGTGGGCTCTGTAGTTTGCGGCACGCAGGCTCTCTAGTTGAGGTGCGCAGTCTCAGTAGTTGTGATGCGTGGGCTTAGTTGCCCCGTGGCATGTGGGATCTTAGTTCCCTGACCAGGGATCTCACGCACGTCCCCTGCATTGGAAGGCAGATTCTCTATCACTGGACCACAAGGGAAATCCCGGGATTCATTTTTTAAAACAGTTTTTATTCAGAAATAGAAAACACCTACGGAAGAATACCTAAAACAAGGTACAGTTTAATGAATTGCTATAAAACAAATATCCATATAAATACTCCGGAGGCCAAGAAATAGAATGTTGTCAGCACCCCAGAAACCCCTTGTGTTCTCCTTTCTGTGTTACAACTCCTCTCTCTTCCCCCAGAGGTAATCAATATCCTGATTTCTGTGGAAATCTCTTTTAAGATTAGTTTTTACTTTCCCCCTGTGGAATTTCCTGGGTATTCTTAAGTCATGAAATCTGTGTCTGCAAAAAATGTTTCGAGGAAGTTTACCTTAAAAAATGTCGTTAGCTGTGCAGCAAGGCTTGACTTTTCTGCTGGTGAGCACTTGCTCCTCATCCTTGCTCTGCTGGTCATCAGGCTTGCTTACTCTCGCTTTGAGCTTCAGGAATACTTTCTTTTGTCACTTCATCTTTCTGGGCCACTTTACTTCAGGATAGAAGCTGCATCCATCAGAATTCTTAGTTGTAAGCAGTAGGAACCATCTCTAGCTAATTCATTAAAAGGATATGGGTGACCAGTCAGCTTTCTAAGAAGGTTGGGAAAGTAGGCTTCATGACCACACTGCCAAGAACAAAGCTCAAAATCATACCACAAAACTGGTCTCAGGAAGTCCCTCTGCCACCAAGCTGGACATAGATACTGCTGCTTGTGCTCCAAAAGCCACTGATGCTGGGCTGTGGTTGCTGCCATGAGAATCTCTGTCCCAGCTCTCAGGACACTGGATGTAACTGCTCCTACTGCTGACATCCTCGCCACGTGGATTCTTTGGAGTTCTTACTTCTACAAGTTAGTTGTTTTCTATTTGAAGTCTAGAGCGGTGCATCTTATTGGCGGAGCTTGTATTATGTTCCCCTGTCTTAGTTTCAAAGGAAGATGGGAAAGTTTTTTTTTTTTCCTTCTTCATACTTTGGTAGTGGGATGTATACTTGTCATATAAGGTAGGGTGTGCTTAAATGTAGACTCAGCGTTTGGATGGTTGGCGACCAAAAAGAAATGTCCATTGTAAAAGGTCTGTATCAGTCTTGGAAATCCATCACTTTTAACACAGTTGTTGCTCTTTATAGACACTCACGTTGCTCATATCGTGCAATGAATATTTGACATAGGACTATTTTTTATCATTTCCAGGTGATATATTGCCAGGTGCTATATAAGACATGGAACAGAATCTGTATTTCTGATGATCTATGTATATTAAAAGTCCCATTCTAATTTTAGCTAGTTTTGGGGGAATTCCTGTTTTATCTTATGAGTAAACTTAATGAGATGTAATAGTTAAAAATCAATTGTAACAAACATTGGTGTCTCCTGGCATTACTTTCCCTGAGAAGTTTCTGGCTTGTTGACCATTTGCCCTTTTTCAGATGTGATCTTACTGTATACAAAAAGGTTTGGAAAATAGGAGACACTCTTAGGACCATTAGTAAATATAAATAGGATGACATTTTCTTTTCAAAACCAAGATGATATAGTTCTCATTATTGCAAAGGTATTTTACTCTAAGTCACTGTGAAACTTTGTAAGCACAAGCTTTATAAAATTAACACAAAAGCCCATTGTTAATTTACATATGTGACTTTAAAAGCCGGCTAGTGAAGTTTTCATCTTCTCTGAAACCAGGACATAGTTGAATGGTTGGAGCAGTGGCCACAGGGGTTGGGGCCTTGCTGTTATTGTCCTGGCTCTGCAGGTGGTGTATAGCATCACTTTGAGTAGCTCATTTATGGTCTACATTTCATCTTTCTAGTTCCTGAAGAAGAATTCATAATACTGTCCCTTCCCCTTCACTTTTCTCACAGTGGTGGCAGGAGATCTGACACAGATGTCTCAGATGAGACAGATGAACTTCTTAGAATAAACACATGGTAACATAAAGGTTGTTACAGTGAAAACAAGCAAAGATGAAGGTAGTATAAACTCTTTATAGCAACATGCATCCTGTTGCCTTAGTACGTAACAATAAACTGTTGTTATAATATCCTGATGGAAGAACACACTTCTGAATTATTATTCAAACCAGGTGGTGCCTCAGATTTGAATACTTAAACACCTCAGCTGTGGATTTAATGGGCTAAGTTGGTAGGATGTTTTTTAGGTTCATTCATTTGGCCTTTGCCTACAAAGCCAACAGAAGTTGCTTTATAGGGTGTTTCTAAACTCATTGCCAAATAAACCAGGTTAGTTTTAACACTGTTCACATAGCATATGGGAAGCCTTAATTCTGTAAAGGAAAAAAAGAATCCACGGTTTCTAAATGTGGTAATATTGTAACAGAAGGGCAGGAATCAATTTACTGGTGATACATTTGATTGCTTTTGTGGTTCCAGATAGCAATTATTTCTAATATAATTTATTTTGCAGTGAGGGCCGAGGCAAGTTGACGGTATTTTCAGTTAAAGCTATGTTAGCAACCATGTGTGGTGGAAAAATGCTGGACAAATTGAGATGTAAGTATTTTTATATTATTTGAAAGATTTTATTTTCAAATTAGGACTTTTAAACACTTTTAAATGAATGTTTTCAGAATTTTGGATGATGGTCTATTGAACTTTTTTGTTTTTTTTACTACCATACCACTCATTTTACAGCAACTGGCTCAGAGTATGTAAGCTATGCCACCTACTGTTCAGATGGAAAAGTTGGTTGAATTAATTTTTTAATTTTTTAATTTTTTTTAGGTTAAAACAAGAAAACTCTGAAAAGATTCAGAATAGTAATGTGGACATTTAAAAATTTCTTTAAAAATGTTTTCCATATTGTTAAAAATTATGCTTGAAGGTGATTTGTTGATCACTTTTAATTAGAAAATAAATTTCATCACTTTTACCGGGTTTGGTCAAGTTTAGCTCTTTTCTTAATCACCTGATGCTTTATCAGGTGGTATTTCTTATGATTAAACTGTTTTTTAGTACCTTAGATTCAAGTGTAGTTATTTAGAAATTGATAACCTATTTATTCACTTATCTTTCCTTAATTTTTTTCTTACTGTTTACCATTTTGGCATTTTACTGTTCACTAGATACTGTTAGAAGGTGGTTAGATGAAGTTGAAGGAGATAAAATTCACAGTTACTTAATTTTTCTGCTTATCATTTTCATTTATTCACTCATTAGATAGTCCTTCACTGCCTAAGATATGCCAAGCATTGTGCTAGGTGCTGTACATATATTTTCTCACTGAATCCTTAAAATTTCTTTGAGCAGCAGGTGGTATTTTCTCTGTTTTATAGATGAGTTAACTGAGGGGGCAAAGCTGGGATTTCAACTCAGGCTGTAGCTTCAGAGCCCTTTCTAAGCTACTCTTTTGTACTCCACTATGCTCATCCTGTAGTGGGAGACACACATTCAGAGTGCCCTAATACGAGTATCCATGGAGTAAGAAACTCTAGCAGGTTTCACAGAGGTGAGATTGAAGCTGTGGGTTTTCATGAAGTGCTGAGAAAACCTGTGAATTGATTTGTTGAAGAAACTGGGTCATCTGTCTTGTGGCATTTCTCATGGACTAGATTTTGATGATTGCATCCCCATGACGTTCCGCTGTGCCCTACATTTTTGGTTTTAATTGAAAGATACAGAGCCTTCAACAGATTCAAGTACAAGCTTTTGGGCAAGATTACTTCATGGGTGCATGTTTGTTTTCTGTGCTTTTTCTTACGTGTTACCATGACGTTAAAAGTTAGAAAGCTAGAAGGCTCACTAGATATAGATTTAGATGTCTAAAGAAAGGTCTTAGTATATTTGGTCAGTGTTATCTGGTTATCTCATTTCAAAATCAGCTGCATTGTAAAACAAAGTTTTGGCAGAAGAAAAAGTATAGTTTTATTTAAATACTCTTCTGAGTTTTTTTCACATGGTATCTCAAAATATTACTCTTTTGGGCTGAAATTTCTTAACATTTTCTTAATTCTAACATGGTGTTTTTCTGAGGATGATAATATAATACAGATAAAATTATATCTCATTCACAGAGAAAAAGAAAGTTGGGATTTTGTCTGTTTTTTAACGATGATGATAACAGATAAAGAAATATACATTGCCATTTTTATTAGGAGTGGAGAAACTGGTTGAAAATAGAAAATTGATTATATAACTGCACATTCTAGATAATTCTGGACTCTTTAAGTTTCTATGATTAAATTTGCTACATTTACATAGAGCTGGTACCTGGCCCATAGTAAGTGCTAAAATTTTGCCAAATATAAATTGTTGATTGAGAACTAAAATTACTGCAGCTCTCTGTTGTAACTATTAGTGAAAAGGTGCAAATCCTAGTTCTGTGTGAAGTATTGAAGGGATCCAGGTGATAGCAGGTGGGTTTTTTGTTTATTTATGTGGCTTTTGAATTTCTTAGAGGAGCACAAGTGACCAATATTCAAGTGGCACAAAAGTACACATACCTAGGCAAATGTGACACGTCAGTGTGCTCTCAACACCATATCGTTACACATTGTGTACGGAAATACAAGCCACACTAGATCACTTAATAGCATGTTTACATGATTCAGATAGATTTAAAATCTGGTTTCTTTATCTTCTTCACGTTCAAAATTAAGGTTTCTTTACCATCTGTTGCTCTGTTTCATTATTTTTTAAAATTAATTTTTTTTTTTGGCTGCGTCAGGTCTTCGTTGCTGCGCGTGGGCTTTCTCTAGTTGCAGTGAGTGGGGGCTACTCTTTGTTGCGGTTCGCGGGTTTCTCATTGCGGTGGCTTCTCTTGTTGCAGAGCATGGGCTCTAGGCACGCGGGCTTCAGTAGTTGTGGCTCTTGGGCTCTAGAGCGCAGGCTCAGTAGTTGTGGCTCACGGGCTTAGCTGTTCCGTGACATGTGGGATCTTCCCAGACCAGGGATCAAACCAGTGTCCCCTGCATTGGCAGGTGGATTCTTAACCACTGTGCCACCAGGGAAGTCCCCCCGTTTCATTATTTTTATCGTACTGTAATTATCTTGACTAGAGAGTGAGATGTTTAACCTAAGTAACACTTTCAGGTATTGAAGCCTATCTCCACTTTTTTGTTTTAATCATCTAGGGTGGAAACTGCTTTAAGTGTGGTCTGTGCCTTCTGTTTTAAACAGAGCTCACTGATCATAATTTAAATATTTTTCATCTCTTAGGGATGTCATTCTCTGATGCATTTAGGGCTAATTGTGAGGCTCTGGGTTGTTTGTCCCTTCTCATGTTTTCAGACTGCTGTGTTTTTTCAGCTTTTGAACTTTTTGTCATTGGTGGTGGTGGTGATGGTGTATGTGTGTGTACATGTCCTTTATCTCTGGTAAATGTGATGGTATTATCAGTGTCCCCGTCTCAAGCAGTCTCCTTTTGCTTCTGATGTACTTTTCATATGCTACTGACAGAGAAAACATAACCAGCCTTCTTAACATTCTATTCTGTTAGAGTATGGACGAAGTGATTACTCGTATTGAGAGAAGCACTCACTTTGGTAGTTTTGGCTATTGTGAGAATCCTTTTTCACTTGCTTTCTAGTCATAGCTATGTCCTACTTAGTTGAGGTGGCTGAATAATAGTGTAGAAGAAGGTAGCTATAACACTGTATTGTAACATAAAATGATATTTGACCATTTATTCACTTTTTTCTTCCTACTTGTTCCCTTGTCTTTGTTCTTAGTTTCTGCAGCCTCCTCCCACTGACTCTACTTCTGTTACCTCTGTTAATGTTCCCATTAAGTTAGATTTTTCTAATTTATGGAATATGCCTCAGCATTTCTACTTTTATCTTTTTGCTTTTTACCTCTTATTTTAGAATTTTTTCCTTTAATTTTTTCCCCTTTTTCCTTGATCTGTCTTTGTTTGCTTGTTTTAGTGTCAAGATGGCATTTAAAATGTCTTAACCAATACTTGTGTTTTTAGTTTGAAACATTTTCTTTTTTAAGATTTTTTTGATGTGGAGCGTTTTTTTAAAAGTCTTTATTGATTTTGCTACAATATTGCCTCCGTTTTACGTCTTGGTTTTTTGGCCATGAGGCAGTGTGGAATCTTCGCTCCGCAACCAGGGATCGAACCTGCACCCCCTGCATTGGAAGGCAAAGTCCCAACCACTGGACTGCCAAGGAAGTCCAGAAACATTTCTTAATTAGACTTTTCAGGTCTCTCTTAAGAGAGTGTCTGTCCCCAGGTATCATTCATTTATAGATAAATGGTTAACTGTTGTGGCCATTAGGGACTGTATCCTAGATTCAAAGGCAACTTAAGTCAGGATTCTAAATACCAATGATTTATAATCAGAGTACAGACTTTGATTATCAGCATGATGAAAACTCAGTAATGTCAGAAACCCAAAAAATAACTCAGAGAAACAAAATTTACAGACTGTAAAACCCATTATTTATTAAACCATACTAATTATCAGCTAATTTGACTATGTGATTTATTTACTTTGTCTAATTCTGCTGTTTTCTAAGAAACTTATCTCTTACGCAAACCCTGTCTGTCTTGCACTGAAAGATAGGAGCAGATGATTCATGCAATTTATTTTTAAATCCTTTAGAAAACTGGTGCCACCATTTTGAAGGGCAGTCTAACGGAGTGTCAGAAAGGCTATAAGAATATTTGTATCCAGTGACTCAGCCTGCTTCTTGAGTTTATCATGAGGAATTAATCAGTGGTGTACCCTAGGTTTTACCTATATTTGTTGCAACACTTTTTATAATATATGAAGACTTAAAACAGCTTTAGTGTCCAAAAGTGAGAGCTCAGTTACACTTTGGGATACTGACATGATTGAATATACTGCCTTTAAAAATATGCTTCAGATCAAAATGCATAAATGTAATATAGTTTTAAATAAAAATTTATTATGCACATAGGAAAAGAAAGAAATATACCAAAATGATAACACTGTTAGGTGTTTTCTCTGGGTTATAGCATAAAAATGGTTTTATAATAATAATTTATATTACTTATTGTTTCTGCGTGTTTTTTTTTTTTTTTTTTTTTTTTTTGCGGTACGCGGGCCTCTCACTCTTGTGGCCTCTCCCGTTGCGGAGCACAGGCACCGAAAGCGCAGGCTGAGCGGCCATGGTTCACGGGCCCAGCCACTCCGCGGCATGTGGGATCCTCCTGGACCGGGGCATGAACCCGTGTCCCCTGCATCGGCAGGCGGACTCTCAACCACTGTGCCACCAGGGAAGCGCTTCTGCGTGTTTTTGATAGACCACACTTTGTGCAGCCAGAGAAAAGATGACCTGAGGTGTTTTTTCTCAGAACTGGCAGTTCTGACATTTCAGTTGTTTGCTTCCTTGATGTTTCATTAACAGACTGTAGGGAGCCAACCTTTGAAGTTATAATTAAGCAGTTTCACCTGTTCAAAATTTAGCATCCTCTCTTACAGTCTTCTAACCACCTGTCACTGCGTATTTATCCTGACTGGTTTCTGTTAATCATCTCTTCACTTCATTAGCCTGAAGTGACTCTTTAATCTGAATACTTGCCC